TATTTTGAATCCAATAATGCAACTTAAAATGAATGTGGTTAATAGTGGTATTGTATCAACAATAGTAGTGGTTCGACTGCTTGAACCAAAGTTTTGATTTAAAAATCCTTTAAAATATCTATTATTAGATATATATGCGTTAGCACATAAATTCACTACAATTTAAAAATATAGTTTGAACAGTTTTGCATTCTAACTTATCTTGTAAGTTCAATGCTTTCGAATGCGTCAAGGATTAAAAACCCAAACTCTTAAAAATTGGAGTTATGTTCAGCTGTAGTATGTTCTGTGCCGAGAACATAATCTTCCTAATATTCATGATAGTGGCGAAAAAGATTGAATATTATCATAATCTGCCTTCCTTAGATAGTACTCGATTTGAGTTTATAGTGGGCTCTTAATGGCTTAGTGTAGGTTTTTGTTTTCTTTTTAAGTTTAAAATAATTTTAGCAATAATTACCTTATAGATTTATAATATCTTTGACTGGAGAAAACCAGAATGACTGCTCCTTATTCGCTTCGCAAATGTAGTTTTGTCATAAATATTATATTAAAATTATATCATATTTTAATCAATATCGAAATAGCGAATTCTTTTCGCTATAGTCTATAAGCTACAGTAAGAATCCGTTTTACGTGTGGAATGCTTTTTCAAATATATATTTTGTCGTTAAACGAAATAAATGATAGAGATAAGTGAAAGAGAAGTGAGAGAGAAATGGAATATATAGTCAATTTTTTAAATTTAATTTTGCAATATATGTCGTTAAATGGTATTCATTACATTGATTATAATCTGATTTATTGCAAATATCGACATTTATCCATAAAACATTTATTCGTAAAATCAGAAAGTTTTATGTGTATAAATTTATGTATACGAAGATGAAGGTTTTTTCTTACATAACATTTTTTATAATCATTCTATGAAAAATCGTCTGTGTTTTCTAATTTCTTTGTCGATCATCAAAGACGAGATATCTTTTTTAGAAAAGATTAGTAAGGCACGGATCTAGTCGTTATGCCAGTAGGGCGACTTTTGTTTATGAAATTCGTTAATAGTTGTTATTGATTCTAAACTTCAGCAGAACAAATTCTATAATTGCCTTGCTCCTATTCTTTAAAATAGTCGTTAGAAAAACGTTCACTCATTTCAACTTACAATAACTCCTTAATCTGTGCATTTAATTATCTTGCACTATTTTATTAGCTGATTTTACACTTTCATCGTTATTAGCAATGACTTTTCTAGTATTAATATCTTTATTTAGTTTCGTCCTTACATTCTTCGAGACTTTTTTCATATATACCAAATTAGAGTTGGTGAATTTAAACTATATCAAAACACTGTTTAGTGGGATTGTATACATAGTTATTGTAAATCTTTTAATATTTTAACACATATTCATCTAATATATCGAACAGAAACGAAAATATATGACGTTTGCAATATAGATTTCAATAGATCTTGTAACGAAATTTTTAAGCGTAATGAAAAATTAATTTTTGTATATTTTCAATCATTAACTTATTACCCTTGTTAGAGTCTTATTATTATTAAAAATGCTTTCGATTACTCTAGACTGTAAGCATACCTAATTCTATCGACATGTGAAATAAAATTGCCTCAGCTAACTGATAGATACAATTTTTTTTAAATACTTTTGCGCTTTTACGTAACATTATACAAAAACTTTTGATTAAATTTCAGAAATAACTTTTTTTTAAATATTATTAATATAATTATGTCCCTATGTCTAAATAATTTTGTTTATATTTTTAAAATAAACCAATCAAAATGCTACGATCTAATTGGTGTAAATAAAAGCAATTGCAGAATATTGCCAATGCTAAAGTGAGCTTTCTTCAATTCATAAGAAATTTGATAGCATATAAATATAGTCAAATTCCATGTTATACTGTTACTCCACTACTCGTTTACCGAGCTCATTACTTGTAATAGTGAATTCATTGTTTGTTCATTGATTAAGATTAAGTTCAGTTAAGTAGCATAAAAGAACAAAAAACTGCAATGAAAATGTAAAAAATATGTACAAAAAAAATTTACAAATTTGCAGCAAAAACTATGTTGTTTTGTGCACAATAGAAGTTTGTAAAAAAACATTTATTTAAATAAATAGTGGAAATTAGTAAAAGATTTAAGTGAATTATTGAAAATTAAAATTTTGTGAGCTAGTCATTGATATCAAACCATGATATCAATGTTTGTAGGATGCATTGATTAGAAAGAAACTCAATTAAGGAATCAGAGAAGCCAATTATTGATTAGCGATGTAACTATTTGTATGCAGTACATATTAATAAAAAAGTATATTTTTTTATATATTTTATTCAGGAATAAAATTATTTTGAATGCCTGATTTAATTTCTTTTTGCACATAATTTTGAAAATATTATTTATTTTATTTTATTTATGTTTTATTTATTATTTATTTATTTTAATTTATTTTAATTCTACCTCACAAATTTTAATGACTGTATGTTCATATAGTTATGTTATTATTTAATATTTTAATAAAATATGCTTGTGAATATGAATAATATATTATTACGTGTGTATGAATAATTTAAATTAATAATATCAAATATATAATATTCTGATTATATCAATTTTTTCATATTTGTATATTTATTTTTTTTATGTTAATTTAAATTATCATTGAAAATTGAATATGAATAATATAATAAATTATTATAGGTTTGTAAATCATAATATTATCAATATCATGTATATAAAATTTCTAATTCGATTAATTTAATTATACTCATATGTTTACTTTATAATAATTTTAATATTCAATTAAAAAATAATTTAAATAAATTTTAAATTAAAGTTTGATTCAAATTCACGTAAATATATTTTTAAAATAAATTTTTGTTGTCTTTAAAGTATGTCTTAAACGTTTTTTTTTATTGTTTTATGTCTACAACTGCTTAAAGTTTTCTTTATAAAGAAAAAAAACTTTTATTTATGCTCGCATATAATCGGCCGTAATTCAACACAGCCACAGCCTCAAAATTCAGAAATTCAACAAATCTTTTGATAGGGAAACTGAGAGTGGGTGAATAAAAGTAAATAGTATAGAAAAAAAATTTTAGGTCTAAAAATAAACTGAGAGTATGCAATAAAAAGGAGAGGAAATAACAAAAGAAAAACGAAAACAAAAAACAACAATAATATTGTAGTTAAACTAAATTAGAGGAGTCGTATACGACTAACTATTATACCCGATTCGAGTCAACGGACATTCAAAAAAAATGTAATTGCTATTCTGGTCTATACATAAAGGACAAATATAGGGAAAAATAAAGTAAAGAAAAATAAAACTTGAACCAAAATATAAAGAAAAAAATATGTAGAAAAGAAAAAACATAAAAGAAAGAACAGGAAGAAGGAATTAAAAAATTTAGGAGGAAGAAATTAAATAATTGTTTTGCTTAAGTGGCAAGTTCAGATGAAATTAAGACCCAAAATATATAAATAATAAGAAAAAGATACAAAAAAAAGATGCAATAAAAAAAGAAGAAAAAATAATATATATATAAAACGATACAAATAAAAATTATAGACCAATTTATATGACATTATTGAGCGAACGGAAATTCGTCAAAAAAAAACCCGGAAATTTATACTTTATCGATAACAAATGCTTGATAAATATTATTTTCTTCAAGTGGCCTCAAAATCTGATCAGCTTTTGACGACTAATAACCCACTAATAACTTATAATAAAAATGTTTAATATTAAATTGTAAAAATAAGTTAAGAAACCTGTAACAAAAACTGATAAATTAATAGTGATAAAAATAAAAACTTAGTAATAATATTAATTATATTACCAACGAAAAAATATAAAAATATATGTATATATATCAAAAATCGTTGATTTAATTTAATATTAATGATGACAATTAAGTAAACAAAATAGTTTTCTAAATAATTTTTTAAAATTTAGAAAAAATATCATAGAAAAATTTCGAACCAATTGAACAGCAAATTTTCATACAATTGTCTTTTTTAATTTGAAATTGAATTCTGTTGAAAAAACATATTAAATTTCAAAGAATTTTTTTGAATTTAATATTTGAATTTTTACTAAGCTTGTCTGTATCTCTAGCGCAAGAACGATTTTCATAGTTCAAGAATATGAACCTACGAAATTCCCACTTGTTCTTCACTTTCTCCAAGCGTTGACACTCGTTGGTAAAATACCGCACTTCGAAAAATCAAGCGTATGTGCTTTTGATAACCGTAAATGTGAGACATTGTAGTATGATTTGGGCATGCTATAGCACAATTTCTTTAATTGAAAATCCAAAATGACGATGTTAACTTAGCACCCAAAATAGGATCGTTTTGTAAAATTCGTATTACCAAGACTATAATCATTTTATATGACATATATGAAAACAGCACTACTTTTTATGGGACTAAATATTTTAATACGACAGATGACAGCACATATTAGCAATATAATAGCACTTTTTCTTCTTGAAAATCGAAAATGGCGATCTTGATTTCGCACAAAAAAAAAACTTACTTGTAAAATACTTAGCTTCAGATATATAATCGTTTTTAATACATGATAATATTTTTGTTTGAAAATCAAAAATACTATTGCGAACTTCATTAACATTCTGGTCTAAATAAAATTCCAATTTTATTGAAACGTTCACAATATAAACCGAAACTTTTTTCTGGTAGACATTCACATTAATCTTGACATCACGGTTTAAAAACATCAGCGAAGAGTGACTATCAACCGTCTTAATCCCAACTTCACAATCCTAAACTTCAATTTATGTGACCAATTAAATATCTAAACTTTCGTTTGATATTTCAGCTAAATAAACTAAATGTTTTAATTGTATTATGTAAATTTTTCTATTTAAAAAATAAAGTTAATAAAAAATTGGTAATTAACTGTATTTGTGCAAGCGCTTCTTGCTTTCTTCTTTCATTTTATGGAGTTTAGGTACTTTTGTTTTTAACCATTGGCAGAATATTAGTTTTGTCATGAAGCTTTAAAGGTTCAGTTTGAGCTCATTTTTAAGCATTCACATAGCTATTATATATAATTAGATAAACAGTCAGATCTCTTTCACTACAACGATTATTTCATTCGAACTGAGGCATAACTTTTAAAGCCCTTGTCACTAAATCCTATTCGTTTTGTTAGAACGTTCTATGGTTCGATATATTTTCGTTATCCATATTAGGCAGTTATTCACATTAAGCTGTAATCCTCATTAAGCTGTAATCCACATAAAGGTGTTAACTACACAAAGGCTTATCTACATATACGTGTCTTCCATATTACGATATTATTCACATTATGAAGACGGTATTATCCCCACAACAAGATGTTATCTACATTAAGGTGTAATTCACATTAAGGTCGACCACATTAAGATAAAGTTTGAACAAAAGTTCGTTGCGGTTTTCTACTCCAAAAATTTAGACATAATGCCTTAAAGATTGTCACCAGTTTTAAAGTTATGGCAGTTTGTAGTTGTTTACAGTTTAATTGAGTCGTTTTTTATTTTAAAACTCTGAATCAATAGGAAATTATTTGTATAATTTTATTTTGAAACTAAGTTTATAGTTTTTTTGAAATTTTAATTAGAAAAAAGTGTTTTTAGTTTGTGATTAATGTTCTTTACAAAAAAAATAAAATATAATAGACTAGAAATCTTGCGAAAACTATAATTTATTAATAATAAATAATAACTAATATAATTAATAACTATTACTATAATATTACTATATGTAGTAATATTTTGTTAAAAATATTTTTTTGAAAAATCGAAAAAATTTGTTATTAACTTCTCTATGTGTTATTTAAGTTCTCTATATATTATACAATACATTATTATTACTGAATAGTTTAATATAATAAAACAAGAAACCTTAAAACATATAATTTTTAATGTTTAGTTTAATATTTATAGCATTATTAGTTATTATCCATTTCTATGTATTTATATTCTCTTTTTAACTTACAGAATCGAATGCCAAATAAAATTTAAGTAAAATAAATATACATATATGTGCATATGTATATATATTCCACAAAGAAAAATTTAGCTTAAATGTTGACTTAATACTTGCCTCTTTCATACACTTTCACAACTATGATGCAGGTTGTGTAAATAGAAAAAATTTATACTAAAAATAAAGACACAATCTAAATTTTTGTTCTGTAATGCCGTGCTGTCATAATAACACACTAAAACCATAACAAAACAATTATAACAATAATAATAAAAACAACCAGATCATCGCAGTTTACAACATCACAGTTATTAAGACAAATTATTCTAAACAATAGAGCAACTTGAAAACGACTAACTACAAAGGAAACTAGGGTAAAAACTACTAAATCTACTGAATCACATTTAATTAAGGTGAGTTAATTTGCACAATTGTTATGCACGAAACGTTCTTGAACTAATTTGTTTATATTTAATCTTCTCGTAAAGTGAAATCATTATGAGAAACCTAAGGATTAAAAAATGATTTTCTTTTGTCACTTATTTTAAAATTTAAGTAACTGCTAAATTAAATAACTGCTAAATTATAATTCATATTTAATTAAAATACACAAAAGTTTAAATTGTTGGAAAAAGATGTCTAAGGCAAAAATGTTGATCTGTTTATTTGTAGTCAGTGTACTGTAGACACAAAATTCAAATCTATTAAAATAAAAATTTTTTAATAAGCGATTGAAAATTTAATTTTTAATTTTAACTCATTATTGCCAGAGATCCAGAACGGGTTGCATATTTTAGTTCAGCAGCCCTAAATTAATTTAAGGCCACTGAAAAATCAAAAAAGAAAATTTAATCTTGCATAATGTGATTTTCAGACATATACGTACAACTAAATAAATATGCTAAAGAGTAACATTGGGCAGTTATATATTATTAAGGGCAAATCAAAGGTCAATGACGTATTTTGGATTTTGCAGAAGGGATAGATCCATTAAGCAATTGATTTGCAGTTGTTAAGAATATATCGATAAATTAGCAACCGTACAAGAAAACTGAATATGTAAAATAGAATAATATATGCAACTGTTAGAAGCAGTAAACGAAAATGTAAAGTACCAAACATAGTGTACTGTCTTGTACACTACACGAACACTACACTAAATAAAGTTCGAAACACTTCAAAAAAATTTAAGCATTTGTGTTTATTAACACAAGCTCTTAAATTATAGTGTACTGTTTCCAAAATCTCATTTCAAATTTTTAATGTTCTCTTTAGTGTTCTTTTCACGAAGGTAGTGAACTTTTGTAACGATCATTTTCCGAAGATAGTGTATTTTAGTGTGTATAGACTAAAACGATTTGTTTTGTTTTTAATGTGTATTGTTGTTGTACAGATAATAAGAAAATTTTAAAAGTAATTTCTTAAATGAAATTTCTATATTTTATGGAAATGTTTTTACTTATTTTTTAGGTCGGATTAGGATCAATAAAAACTATTAATTGCTGGAAGTATTTATGTGTATTTTGTTGGAAACGAAAACATTTTTCTTTATTTTAGAAACAATTATTTTAATCCAAGTATTACCAATCATTTTTACAGTTCTACTTTCAAGTTGACATTACGACAGTGAAATGTCAGGACTGTGTTAAATGATCAAATTTTGTCAATTTTTTAAAGACCAAAAAGCGTGTGTGTTTGTTGACTTCGATTTATATAGTATAACAGTAACAGTAAACAGTAAAAACAGTAAAAATTTAATGAACCATTTAACCCTGTGATAAAGGTTAAAATTAACAGTAATAGTAATTATCATCATTGCCTGCCTCTAATTGGTTCCATTTATATAGATAAGTACAGAAATTTAAGCCATATAACTTTTCTCAATTAGTTTGTGGCAGATTTAATCATTAAACTACACTTTATCAGCTGTTTTAACATTGAAAAGATTCTCATCATTTATTTTGCAAGAACTAAGTATAACTTGACAAATGTTTGTGGGATTTTGTTAGTTCTTGGTGCCATTATATAGCACTCTTGTTTTATTTATCTTACGTCGATATTCGTGTTAGTAGTAAGCACTTCATTTCTGCTTATTCTATTAACCACAATTATATATAACTAATTGCGATTTACTATAAATATAGTCTCACAATTTTTGCAATTAATTAGAGTGACAGCAACATAAATGCAATAAAGTACTTTAACCATTTTTTAATTTTCTTTTTAATATTATTGGTTGTTAAAATTCAGAATTATTTTGCATTTTTTTATTTAACATTAAAACACAATATAAATTAGAATTCATTTTAATTAAGTCATTGGGTTTTTACAATATATTGTTAATACATTTAACGCATATCGTTGCTAATAAGCTAATTCGATTCTCATTTGAAACTCTAAGCACGGTTGCCACTTGAACAAAATATAAAATAGTGCAAAGTTGCATTTATAAAAAAAATTAATTGAAAATATCCACAATAAAGTTGGGTCGTCAAAAATGTACCAGTTTTTGAACATGAGTACCAAACGAAAAAAAAAAAAAAAAAGTACCAATTTTGGTACTAAAGTACCGTAAGTGGCAACCGTGACTCTAAGGTACTTAAGTTTAGTATAGAACGCTTGTGAGGATATAGTGAAAAGGTTTACTTTAATATGGTAAATGATTAATTAAATAAGTAATTTAAAGGATTTCGTAGTTGTTTATATTATTAATATTAAAGTAAAGCATTAAAGTGTGACGAAACGCCAGTCAAGATTTATTAAAACAGTTCCTAAAGACTTTAATCTATTTATTATAATATTTTTGTATAAACTTTACATTACTAAATATATATAATAATGTCTAGCGGAAGAGCTGCCTTGAAAAAAGATATCTGTTATTATTTTATATTAAAACTTTGAGACAAAGTATATTTCAGACAGTACATTTCTATAGAATACTTTAACCATACTTGAAGAGAATTATAAATCATATTATATGTTAATATATTAGCATCATATGTTTATCATAGCTTTATACTAAACTACTAAAATTATACTAAAATACAATATTATTGTTATAAATAATTAATTATCAATTAATAAATTAAGCTTATAACTTTAAGTGGAAACAAGTACATAACTGTACATCGTTACTGTGCAAATTCCAACACAATATACATTAGTTAGTAACAACTCAGACATATTTCCCGAGACATTTTATAGTTATTAATCATCACGAGAAAGTCTGGTTAATACTTTTTGCTTATTCAAATAGATGATATGTTACAAGC